CCACTGGTTCAGCAGTCAACAAACAGTTCAATGGAGCGTAAATACACTCGTTCAGCAAGAAGTCAGCAGGTCGCACCGGAAAATTGTGTATTCGTAACATTAAAACAAACGTCATGATACAATATGTACGACAGTTACAAAGTGTGGTTTAAGTTCAGGAAGAATGGTAAATGTGACAACGGATTACAGACACTACAAAGATGAACCCAGTTAGGTAGGGAAATTGAGCAAACTCACGAATTCCACGCCATTCTGCGTTAAAAAGTAAACTCAATCACAAAGTAAGCAGTGTCTGACAGCGTAGTGATGGTTTTTTTTGACTTTCAGGAGTGGTAACAGAAGTTTTGGATTATTCCAAATTTGGTAGTCCAGTTCAATCTGACATTGGTATGTCTTATAACAAAACTAAAGCTTGTCTTCATGCTTTTCTCTTTCCAGCAGAGGCTGCCCCACAGTACGTGCAGAAAATACAAGAAAACGAATTAGATCAACGACCATGTGAGTTGGGTGACAAAAGCAAACGGAATTGTCACAGTTTACTGAAACTTGTCTTTTCAGTCAGGCCATGAAGGCTGACTTTGATGGCTGCGATTAGTCCACAAGTTTTTGAGCTCACCACTTCTCTCTGTCCGAAATTTAGTGCTTAACTTTCTGTGATTTTCTACTCCAGTTTAGTTCATGTAGTCATATGTGAGCGGTGTAGTAGAGCAAGATGTGTACGGTTGTGCGTATGTTTTAATCTACTTTCCCCAATTCGACTCAAACACCGAATGAACTCTGAACCTTTGTGTATGACAAAAGATCGTAAGCTCACCAGTGGCTCTTGAAGCGGATGTCGTGTCTATATAGCGTGCACTATAATGAAAGCTATGGGACTTTTCTTTTGTATCCCATGATCTCAAATCAAAAGGGCGCTCTAAGATGGGAATTTGCCCTCTTCACTTGATCTTGGAGGCTACTGGCCCGCAGTAAAAAAGAAAAACAAGCAGATTGATGCTCTTGGGTCATGTTATGCGAAAAATGACAGGAAAATAATACCAGGATGCTTTGAAGGACTACTGGTATTGTTTATCTCAACACTCTGTGGAGGTGGTTTGCTTCTCCTTGAACCTCCACTCTGGTAGCATTCAATCTATTATAGCTCACAGAGCTGTCGAAGAGATCTCTAGAGCCCCATAAATAGAGTGCTACGTCAAAAGCTTGTAACTCGCTAGCTCGATTGTCGTATCAACTCAAAAATTAGGTGGCGTTTTTGAAGCACAATCAGTTGAAGACTGTCTAAAACGAGATATTCAACTGGGATTCGGTTGGAGTTCTCACTAGCACCAACTTTATTTGCGACTGTTTACATCATTCAGTTTACATCACACGTAAAGTGGAATTATCAGACAGCCATTGGGCAGAATAGCAGCAGTTACTTTTGCCAAACTTTTCATGAAGTGGAAGCTCCCTTTCTCTAGTGTTCTGGTGTTCACGACACCAGAATCTGGACTAAAAGCTCAAGCTCTGACAATCGAATTCAATCCAAATTTATAAAAGCGAGTCACTGGATTTCAGACATAAGTGACGATAACAAAGACAGTTCGCCGCTTGAGAATGCCGTCACCGGGAGATGCCAAAGTGTGGGCTAGTAGCCATTTGGCAGTAGCATTTTTTCACCAAATCGAATGCAGCGCCAGTTTGGAGATGTAGTTCTATCGAGAGAAATTTTTTCTCGGATAGGGAAAAAACTGCGTAGCCCGAAATTTAACTGCAGCAGGAAAGGCATACTGGATCCAAGATAAGTGCTTCAATCAGAAGTATCTTCCGTGTAGTTTATTTGCCCCTGGAAGAAGAATAAGTCCTTTCCTTCGGACAATCGTGAGTTCGCATCCTGAGTCTGTCGGTTATTTATGTCTTACTATATGTGGTTTATTCACCAGCGTAGACATCGATCGGCATTATTCACACAAATTCATCGAGTATTCTACTGCTCGCAGCGCTCTGAAACAGTTAAAGCGGCGTAAGTGCAAGCATACACATACATACAGAAACGGCTATCATGCGCACCCTGACCCTGAACTCTTCAAACTCCATGACCACACGCATTAGAAATCTCAATTTCCATTCCGGTGTAATCCTTACTGTTATCAAAAGGAGCCAGAGGTGCTTTCACACAGTGCTGAACCAATCGCATTTCCCCCTGCAAGTAAAGCCAACCTGTGCTGAAAAGCCGAGAAACACTGCACAGCTGGTGCACTCTTATTGGGAATCATCAGCTGTGCACATCGCACGAAACCACAGGAAGTCTTGGAGCGAGAACCCCCCGGTCGCTGGCTTGAACACTTAACCGTTCGGCCACAAGCGGCTGATTAGTAGTGTACCTAGCTCGCAAATGGACAGGATGAAGCAGCTGTCTAGTGTTTCTCGGCCTTTCAGCATAGATTGGCTTCAACTACCGGCCAAATCTCTATCGAAATTTTAAGCTTTTCTCACCATACAAAATTCTTTTATCACCAACTTCCCGTCATCAACTCGCCCACGTGAGTGTGCTCATCTCATCGAGTTAGCTGGTTTAAGTAACTCTTGCAACGTCAAAGACTGACCAGAGCAACTTGACACTGCCAGTGGTAAGTAGCACAGGTGCATAGTTCAAGGTTGTGACCGTGATTTGTCCATCGCATTCACTACCCAGCGAACCTCCCAATATGACTCTGCTATAAACACTGGATGAGTGTGCGACAATCGTTATTCTTCTCTGTATCCTATAGCATCTTTATTAGACAAAATTTGTTAGGCTTCTTCAGCAGCAGCACATGAATCGAGAAGGTGGTCCACTTTGATACAAAGAACAACCTATCTGTTACATTTGACGTAACCGGAAAATGGTTATATTATATATGGGGTAGTATTATGGAGCGGGTATATTGTGCAATAGGAATGGCCTTAGATGAAACTTTCTGCCCTTTGGCGGGAGTTTGTAGTAAAAGGATCCCAAGTGCCGTAGTCCCATATTTATTCGAATACGTACACTATCCCGACAATAATAAAAGGCAATTCCTAGAAAACCTACTTCGCATATGAATCTTGTTAGGAAGGCCATTTCTTGATACACACTGATCTGTTGTTGTTCCTCAAACTGTCAGTTATATATCATATTAAAGCAGTCTTTCCGTGTTTCACCTACAGTGGCCTACCTACGCCGACCAGTCGTACTATTCAGCGTGCTGGCTGTCCTTGTCGTGTCAGTACTGATCAACTTGATCTTTTGTATTCGATGTATGCTTATGCGATCTTACATAGGTAAGTCACTTGATCGGCTGTGTCAGGATTTGTGCAATATGAATACCTAATTGATTTCTTCCATGAGGTTGGTTTCAAGAATTCCTGTCCTTATAAAGACCAACATCACAAACACTGTGCTCAAACGGTGCACTGTGTGTTGGTTTTTTTCTCAGGGCTAACTACGAACGGTCAAACACATAGTTTCGCTGGTTCACTTAGCACAGAATATGGGTTCAAAACTGAAATGTCAGAATTTACTGGAGCACACAAGTCTCCGTGCGACGCTGAAGAATTTCGCTTGTATGATGGAAAAAATCCATGTTTAGACCGTAAATGTGAAAAACGTGTTAGGAATAGCGGAGGTAACGAACGAAAGATGCTTGTGTTTACCCTGAACACAGTTGAGTGCGTCCTTGTATCTGGACAGAGAACAATGAAGGATTAAATGTTTTGAAAACCAGGGCAATTCACAGTCGTAAAGCATCATGTGAATTTGACTTTTGGTGCGTCAGCCCGTAGCAAATACAGCGTGAGCATCGTGATATTTCACGTTCACATCATTCTCGTTTGAATAGTTCTTCGGTCATGGTGCAATTCTTTCTCTTGGGTAGCAGAAGTACTAGACTTGAGGTTTTCTCTTGTTAGAGCTCAACAGCAGTGCATTTTGTTGAACATGTGGGGGTTCGGACTCTGAACCTCTGACATGTGAGACGAACCTGTTACCACCACAAAGACAGGAGGACTGGTGTGAACGTGAAACGATCAAACTGACCTGAAGATGTAAAAAATCCATTCAAGATAGTGGTAAATAGCTGAAGGATAGTCAGATATAGTTGGCCCCGAACGAAAAAAATGCTCCATGGCGAACGTCCCAATTGATCGTAATTGAGAAGCGGTACAAATTGGAGGAGAACGAACTCCGTCTATGACACAAGTTTGTTATGATTTACATACATCCGAATCATCTGATAATAATACTCAGAAGACAATGCACCAGTGTTGTGACCGTGCCTCACAACGATTATAACATAAGACACTCTCTCATAAAGTCCTTATTTGCCGTCGACGGACACCGTCACCATTCCACTAAAAACAACCTTTTTACAGAGGCCCCATGAAGCTGTAATACAGACTGTGGTTTGGGTCAAAGCTCTGGCGCGTTGCCAACCATCCTTTGAACAGGTCCACCCAGCTGGATCAAATGCATAGCTGTGTCCTTGTAAACAACCACAGCCTTTAAAAGAGCGCACTTTTAATCTAACATTTAAAGTGATCATACCGGAGCGTGAAATTGAAATTGAAGTTAGGAGGTTGCATTCAGAAACTCATCGTCAATGATAATTTTTCACACATACCCTTTCAAGGGAGACCTAACCACTAGAAGAACTTACGGGAGGCTCATTACAAGTGGTCCCATCTAATGGATCACTTATGTGAAGGAGGGAAATTGTGGTATTTGTGTACCATACAGATAATATTCACCAGTATGTTTGATGAATTGGGCGGCGAGGTTGCGAACTTTTCGTCGCTAACCGATTTGGTATCGTCAGTATTTTGTTTTGAAGTGAAATAGCTCTTCAGTGAAGAATGTCCACGCAGTGGTTAGAATAAATAATGGAATAGTACTCCAAGACCATCTCAGATCGGAATCTAACTACCCTAATTTCTCTGAAGAGGGATGAGTTTTTTTATAGTTCTACTCTGTCCGTCTTTAACGGAAAATCCATATTACCTCAGAAATGCCTGATTTCTGACGTCAGCTACATAAACTAATATGTCTTCTTGAAGTCCGTTCATAGTCCTTTATGGGAAGACATTTTCTATCCCGTACTTCAGATGCGACAATTAACTGGTGGCGAAAGATGATGGTGCTGTACATTGATGTTCACCGCAGGATAGGTGAACGGGCCAAAAACAAATAAAACGACTACTTTCCAGTTTGGGAACTAACAAAAAGTCATCACTCTGAAGAGGATGAGTTTTTTTATAGTTCTACTCTGTCCGTTTTTAACGGAAAATCCATATTACCTCAGAAATGCCTGATTTCTGACGTCAGCTACATAAACTAATATGTCTTCTTGAAGTCCGTTCATAGTCCTTTATGGGAAGACATTTTCTATCCCGTACTTCAGATGCGACAATTAACTGGTGGCGAAAGATGATGGTGCTGTACATTGATGTTCACCGCAGGATAGGTGAACGGGCCAAAAACAAATAAAACGACTACTTTCCAGTTTGGGAACTAACAAAAAGTCATCAAACGCCGGTGACATCCAGCGCATATCGTACATAATGAGATGCAAATCCACTGACTTAGACATACAACTGAAGCAATTTCGCACCACCTGAGCGTTCAGGATGGTTATAATCAGTTTACATGACTCTACCTGTTGATCGCACCGTGCACTTTCTTAGCAGGCCAACCCCCAGTGATAAAGGGTAGTATTTTTAATGATGTGGAGACAATCCTGTTGTTGCTTCTGCAGTACTCCTTCTTGCACCACGGCGAAAAACTTCTTCAACGGGATGCTTCACCGTGATGTTTCATCGGTAATCAATAATCATAGTACCACGTGATTTCTGCACAAGACTTGTGAAATTTTTATCGCATCCGGGTCTTTTTTAACAGATTTCATGAGCGTGGGAGAAAAATTACCCAGCCGGACTGAACTTAATGTTCCAGATAAATTCAACAGTCTTACATCGCCCAACACTCAGCAGTACTGCACCCCTGATTACTAGGACCTAAGAAGATAATGTTTTTTATCTGGTTAACGTAATCAGGAATCGCCAGACACGATAAGCTATCACGACATACCAATACACGGTAAGAAAAACAATGAAAGTAATTCAGAACTCAAGCAGTATTTATTCATCGTGCTTTGATTCACCCTACCATTCAAGCCTGATGCCCTCAGTCGGTAGCCCAACCGTAAAGTGATCCAGCTAATGGCACCGCTTTCGTATTCCAGGCTAACTTACCGGTCCACTGAAGACAATTCGGGTCAGAGAGAGTTCACATGTGTGAGGTTTAGTACTTTAGTTGTAGTGAAGTAATAGTCAGCAAATCTGGATCGATGACATGAGGCATTTTCAACGTTGTATCATTGCCATTATGGTAACCACTATTTAGTTCTGGGTTTCGGGTACCGATGGCAACTGAAGTGAAACAAATTCTGCTCCCCTAAAAATGCTCCTTGATGGCGGAGTTTCTTCAAGGTGAAAGGGAAGTGTTCCCTAGGGGGAAAGTGCTGCTAATCAGGAAATCATCCATTGCGCTTTGTACCAGGGTTTCAACCCTAACACTTGTCATCACATAGGGGCGGAAATTGTGGATAGTCCGTCTTTAAAATAGCCTCAAAGGGACTAAGATCACTTAAAACTAGAACTCATCTCACTTTCGGGCTCAAACTACAAAGCTTGTTTGACTTATTCTGGGGAGGCAAGAAGTGATGGGAAATATACTTGAAAAATGGGGGGAAAAGCAGCTAGTTTTTTCTACATAACTGGAAGTATTTGAACGTGACAGAATGATACTGTACGGTACTGACCTATGGGACAATAGTGTCATATATGTACTAATGAGAACGCCACTGGAACGCTTGGATTGCCAGCACATTCACAAGACCAAAGCACAACATTTTATGACAACTACACTCAGATGCAAATCAATTTGGCAAATATACACTCATTTGCAAACTACTTTGCTTTTTCGAAAGACTCACCTAGAACTCAGCTGAATCTCTCGGTTTTGGCGTTTTCAGGCAACTGAATGTGCTGCACCAGGCAGCCTCATTTTTCAGTCGCTACGATATTCGAGATATCGCGATATAATCTCGTTTGTGGAGTTCTTTAACAAAATGTGATGCACAACGGTTGCCTTATGTTTCAGCTGGTACGATATCTGAGATAGCGCAGTGTGTTTTTATAAAGGAAACTACTCACAAGTTTGCTGAAAACTCTTCGACAACCCACGACCGTTTGCCCCTCTTGGAGCTCATTAGTCAGGCGCAGTCCCCAAGTTCTGTCAACCTTATATCCTACTTGAGGCCGAATGGCATGATGTATCGAAATACATTCATTCGCATACCGATTGGGTTCTGACATGAGACTCACCTGGAACTCAGCCGAATCTCTCGTTTATAGTGTTATTAAGCGACCCTACGAGCAGTGGACTACATCTATACTATACTATTGGTACGATATCTCGACTATCGTACCAATTGAAACCTGAGGTGGCCTTTGTGCAGCACATTCAGTTGCTTAGGAACATCACAGACGAGAGATTCAGCTGGGTTCCAAGTGAGCCTCCCGTCAAAACCTGATTGGCATGCAAAAGAGTGTAGTCCGCTGGTACCCTTTCGTGCTCCCACCGATCTTTTCAAACCAAATTGTTGAGAACATTCTCGTCCTTTCACCTGGTTGTACTATTCATCAGTGCATCATTTGAGTCAGCTAAGCAGTGCAGTTGATTAGGGTGATCTGTTTTACCAGATAACTGACAACTGCACGTTGCTATACCAGAAATTCGTTGGATGGTATACAACACGTCCGTTTTTGTCGGCGTGCACACGCCATTTCGCATATGTGCAACTCTGAGATTTTGAGTCTAGCTCGTGCTTTTCCGGGTACAACGCGCACAAATCGCACTTCACTACTGTAGGAACAATCGATTGAGGCATTGATTGAACCCAATTTGCTATGTCCACATGACCTTAAATGTACGAAATAACCAGGGTGCAAGGTCAGAGCAGGCATTTTCGTAAAGGGCTTCAATCCTTTTCGAGCATGCATCTGAGTTCCGATTGTAAACCGGGATTTTTCACGAATAACTTGCATTACTATAGAGCATAATTAGCAGTTATCTGACAAAAACTCATAGCACCCATTTACTGCACTGACTGGTACGATCTGGTACTATACTTGAGATATCACGGTATCTCACATATTGTACCAACCGAAATATAAGGCGGCCTTTATGCAGTACACTCATTTGAAAAGCATCATAAACAAGAGAT